ACAGGAAAACACTACATAAAGTGAATATTTGAATATATCCATTCCCATCTTTGGGGACCGGCCAGGGTACCTTCAAGAAGAGGTGCATATTATCTATTGACAATGATTGATGATTTCTCTAGGAAAGTTTGGGTATCCTTCTTGAAATAAAAGAGTGATGGGTTTTGGACCTTCAAAGAATGGAAAACAATGATAAAAAAAGTAGACTGAAAAGCAGGTTAAAAGTTTATGCACAGATAATATGTTAAAGTTTTGTTCAGGTAAATTCAATAGCTACTACAGGGCTGAAAGCATCTTGAGATACTTGATAGTACCGGAAGCTTCTCAACATAATGGTATGGTGGAATGAATGAATAGGACTTTGATGGAAAAAAGGCTTGTTGTATGCTTTCAAATTTTAGGTTTCCTAAGACTTTTTAGGCTAAAGCTACTGACACAACTTGTTTTCTAATTAATTGCTCACCATTAACTGTCATTGAGAAAAAGATACCAGAATAGGTATGGTCTGGTAAACTTTTTTGTTATTTTGATTTGAAGATTTTTTATGTTCTGCTTATGCTCGTGTGGAGAATGGAAAGATGGAGTTGGAAATTGGTCCAAGGGAACAATAAGAGGTTTCAAAACAGTCACTACAGTACAGTCTAATCGAGAATTGACATATAGTAACACTTTGTCTGCACCACCAGCAATATCACAGTATTCAATTGCCAAGGGTTGACCTCGCAGAAAGATATGCATTGAATGTGGCTGAAGATATTGATTCCACTGATGAACATTCTATATATTCAAAGGTAATCAATTGCAGTGATTCTAGTAGATGGTTGATTGCTATGCATGAGAGTTGAGTTATTGAATAAAAAAAGTACTTAGGACTTGGTAAAACTACCTAATGATAAAAGGGTTGCTCACTGCAAATGGGTGTTCAAAAAAATGAAAGGACATCAAGGATTGAAGATACTGGGTATAAGGTCAGATTGGTAGCAATGGGCTACAGTCAGATTCTAGGTGTGGACTTCACAGATGTGTTATCACTGGTTGTAAAGTATAGTGTAATTCAGGCTTTAATTGGGATAGTGGCGAAGAATGATTTAAAGCTTAAGCAGATGAATGTCAAGACATCATTCTTGTATGGAGAACTTAAGGAGAACATTTACATGCAACAACCAGTGGTTTCATAGTTTTTGGAAAGGAAGAATGAGTGTTTGTTGCAAAAGTTCTTGTATGGGCTAAAGCAGTTACCGAAGCAGTGATATAAAATGTTCGATTCACTCATGACTACTCATGATTCATCAGAAGTAATTATGATATTTGTGTATACTTCAGAAAAGAAAATGATGGATCGATCACATATTTGCTATTATATGTTGATAATATGCTCATTGTAGCCAATGAAAAAGTAGAAGTCAGAAAGGTAAAATCTCAATTTATTAAGGAGTTTGAGTTGAAAGATTTCGGTGAAGCAAATAAAATTCTTGGTATGAAAAAATTGGAAATTTTGAGGGATAGAAAGGCTGACAGATTGTATTTGAGTCAGAAGGGATACATTGATAAGGTGCTTCAAATGTTCAATATGCTGAATGCTAAGGCTGTCAATACTTCCTTGGCGGCCAACTTCAAATTACCATCTAAATTGTGTTCTCAATCAGATGAAGACATTGATTATATGTCTCAAATTCTTTATCCAGTGCAGTTGGTTCGTTTATGTATACTATGATTTGTATAAGACCAGATTTGGCACATGTAATCAGTGCAGTTAGTGGTACATGGCAAATCCTGACAAGGAACATTGAAAAGTAGTGCAATGGATATGCAGATACTTGAAGGGCTCTACTAATGCTTGCTTGCATTTTGGTATTTTTACAGGTGGAGTTATTGGGTATGTGGATTCAGATTATGCAGGGGATTTTGATAAGAGGGGATCACTTATACGATATGTATTTATCCTTGGAGACTGTGTTATTAATTGAAAAGTTATTTTGCAAAATACAGTACCTTTGCCTATAATAGAGGTAGAGTACATGGTCATTACAAAAAGTATGTAAGGAATCTATGTAATTAAGATGATTAATTGATGAAATCAGTAAAGATTTGCAGATTTCTATAGTATACTATGATAGTCAGAGTGCTATTTTTCTGACTAAGGATCAGTGTTCAATGAGAAGAATAAGCACATTGATAGAGGTATTATTTTGTGCGTGAAGTGACTGTTCATGGTGGTATTGTAGTGTTCAAGTTTGATACCAAGTATAATCCTATTGATATGATGACAAATCACTTCTCATTGCTAAGTTTGAGCATTACTTGAACTTAGTTAATGTTTGTCATTGATCTAGGCCAATGGTGCTTGTTTGGAAGAGGAGGAGTGGTGTTTACTTTGAAGAAGTATTTTTGGAATTATTTGCATTAGAATTTGGTTTAATGTAGAGATTTGTTATGATGTGGCCCAAATTCTAGTGAGCATTAGAGTTTTCATTGAATTGATCTTGAAGAGATCAAAATTATAAACCAAGAAGAAAAATCGTCGCATTTTTCCTAGCTGACCATTTGAGCGACACCTACATATTTTCTACAGAGACTTGTCATCCGCTTGATGCTCAGGAATAGGGTTATCTGACCCAGGCCTGTTTCGCGTTTTGGACATCTATTCATTTAAAACTTAACTCCTACGATTATATATATATATATATATATATAAGTCACGGCTTTTATCGTTCTCATAATATCCATATAACATTTTGAGAGTTTTAGCTCTTAGTTGAGAGTATTGAGATCTTATTGTAAATATAATTACTATTAATTATAGTGGATTTCTCCTTATCTCCTTATATATTTTTCTCATATTACGTTTTTACATAAATTTTGATACTCTTATTTTGTTCTTATATATTTCATTATTGTCATTATCTTGTGATTAATTCAAAATATTTACTTCACGAAGTGAAATTAATATTGATCTACTAACACGACGGAGTGGTAGGAGATCTTAAGGTTAGGGTTCAACATTTAATATTGATCTACTAGCTAGTTCTTTTAGAGTCACATCGCTTCTCTGAGAGAAAACGCGTTTACGTCATTACGTGTCCTTTTTAGGTACTACTTTGTAGGATTGAAATAACCAGTAATATTACTTTTTGATTCATATATTATCATACTGTCTAGTCAAGAATATATTTATCAAACCACCATCATGAATGACCAGAAATATTTAAAAGAATTTCAACACACGTCTCTTAAATACAACAATAAAAATTAGGAAATGACTATCTACCTAACATGTTTTAGGCATAGTTGTTCAATAGTAATTTCAATCAACAAAAGTCATAGAACTAGAAAACAAACCGACTTCCTTGAAACCGACTGCAAAATGAAGTGTCAACATCATTTTGTTTCGAGACGTGAGTAAAACTCAAATTGGAGAAGATTATGGTCCTTGGATTCCTTTGATACCTTCTACTACAAAGAAACTAATAAACAGTTCGAAATCAAGAAATGGAAGGACGAAAGTGACCAAACGTGAGAGTTTCTTCTCATCTAGCTCCCATGTCCAGGATTACGTCCTAAATCATTAGATAAGAATCCAAAGATAAAGAGAGAAACAAAAAAATTCTTCCGTTTCATCGATTTTGTTTGGATCCTGTGTTTCCTCACCACTTTATGGAAAACAGTCAGATATCTACAGGATAAACCTCAACAGAAAACTGAAGAGTAATGGCAGCAAGTGATTGGTCTTAGTCAACTTCGGTTGACAATTAAACACATGGAATGGGAGCCCATCCTGAATAAAAAAAATCATGGATCCCCCTTCTCGCGAGTACATCGTCAATCGAGGTTATCAGCCCCGATTATACAAGAATAATAATTCTTTTGCAACTGGCATTCATTTAGAAACAAACCATTTTCTTGCAGTTTGTTCTAATACGGAAATATCATTTTCTCCAAATAAGTTCTTCTATTTTTATTTTTTTTAAATCTCTGTGCTAAAATGTTATTTTCGGTAAAAAGAAAAAAAAAAATTATGTTTCATAGAACAAGTAACTTAAAAGTAAATTTTAAGCAGAATTGAACCAAAAGATGTTCACATTACACTCATTTGCAAAAAGGGCACAATTATTGTAATTACATCTTTCAGCTGAACTGACTCTGAATTGAGTAGAAAGGTAACACATAAATAAATCATCTAGTCAACCATGGATTTAGAATAAAGCTGAAATTGTTGCCACAAATATTTGACGCTCTGGTTCACAGCATTCCTAACCACTTTTTAATCCTACATTTCAATTTTTTCTCCAACACACGATATCAAATCTAACACATAATGTAAAATAATAACTCGGAAAACGATATGAAATTTAAAAGTATTTTCAAGAGACTATCTATTTATAAAAAAATCTTATACATAATAGAAATTATCTTTATATTTAGAGAATATTTTTTTTTTACATTTTTTTATTTTTTTTAATGAACTTCAACAATTTTATCCATTTTGACTTTTTATTTCATTTTTTTTCAATAAACATTTGTTGATTTCTCCTTATATCTTACTTAACATTATATTCTTATATGTTAATGGTCAATCAATTCAAATATGATTTCAATAATCTAAATGGTAGAGTATTAAAATCATAACTTTTTAAATATAACCATTGTTAATTGCAAATAGAGTTATTTTGATTCACCAAATCACCCATGTTCATTTTAAAATGTTAAAAATGGTTAAATTGCAAATGATTTTGATTCTCCAAATCACCCATGTTTTAAAATAGATTTTTTGTAACTCATTTTTAAGCATCGTCTCTCCAAAATAGAGAGTATTATATATTTAGAGAGCCTCTTAAAAATGCTTTAACATGTGATGCTAAATTATAAATCTTTCTCCCCGGCAATTATGACTGTCCATCAAGCCAATAATTAAAATGACATTTCAAGAAGATCAAGCAATCATGAATAAACAAAAAGTAAAAAAATAAAAATAAATACATCAGTATACAAAATATCAATACTTAAATCATCTAATTGGGATTAGAAGATTACCAATCAACTAGTGAAAACCATCAAATGAACTAAAATAAAGTTGAAACATCTTCTAGGCATTGCAAATCCATGAAAACATAATAAGTTTTAACTTGTCTGGCAAAACTATGTACTGATAAGAGAACCTATGTACCATAAACAAACAGAACACTGTATCAGTCTATTCAAAGGATGTTTTTCTAATCCTAGCATTACCTGCTGTATATCAAAATCTCTGCAGATGTTTTTCATATTTTTCTAACTACACATTATTGCAGAGAAAATATGTCAAATGCATTCTACTATTACCCCGCTGATGATGATGATGGCTGAGGGGTGTTGGATTCACGGGAAAGTAATTCAATCAACCTTTCCTGAGTTAGTTGTTCTGATCCTTGCGACTTCACTACGAATGTGTGAAAAACCTTTTCACTCCCCACGACAACCAACGACTGAAGGACAGTAGCATGTGCACCCTTGATTGCTTGGATAGTCCTTGATATGGGGTGGGTGTTCAACGGGCTGCTTACCTTCACGAGGACTCTGTCAAGGACACTTTCGATTTCAATGCTGGAAATTGGGTTGGGCATTTCTGATTTTGGTTTAGCTTCCAAAGTCGATGACTCGCCCGAGAAGCTTCCAAGTTTTTCCTTATCCGACTCCATGTACTTCAACTTCTTCTCAAGCTCACTTATGTATGCTATAGCATCTCCCAAAAGCGAGGCTTTGTCCATCTTGGAGATATTTGGCACAACAGCTCGCAGTGCATAGAATCGCTGGTTAAGCTTCTCTCGCCTTTGCCTCTCTGCCTGAATGTGATTGAGTGGCTCTTCTCTTCCATTGGCAGGCTTCCGGCCACGCTTTCGAGGCCTATTCTCCTCCAATAGGCTTGCATGTTCTTCCTTGTTCAAAACCTCAAAATTTGAAAGCTCAGACACGACACTAATTGGCTGAGGAGTTATGGCCCTTGAGGTCACTCCACTGAAATCAGTATGCATTTTTACTGGTTTATGTTGCAGAAAATTGTTAAGCTGAAACCCTTCCCTGGCCTTATTGACAAGTTCGTGTAATTTTTTTGCTGCGGCCTGAGCTTCGCCACTTTTCTGTGGGTTCCCTGATTTTACATTGTTGAATTGTGTCCACATTGTAGCATCAAAACCATTCACAGTGTTTGCGAATGACAATCTGTTCCCACTAGCAGACTCATCTCGTTGCCTGTCTTCCAATTTCCCCACAGAAAGGTTGACCCCCAATTGTGCATGTCCTGACTCTAAATCCTTCCCAAACAACTTAGGAACTACTTGGGGTTTATTACCAATTGCCAAGTTACACATAGGGCCGTCTCCATTTATTTTGCCAGATTTCTTGGCCATACCACACAATGAAAACGAAGAAAAGGAAGATCCTATCATCTGCAATAACTCTAAGTTTTCCGGGACCGATCGCATTGATCCTAACTCCACCACCCCCACATCAGTCGGAACCAAAACAACTGTTTGCATACCAGCAGACTTTGCAAGGAAAGACCTGACATAAAAATCAAGCGATGACCTAAATACATCGGATATCCAGACATGCTTCCCAGATTCAAAACACTTCCCCGGACCACCTTCTCCTCTACGGAAGGAAAAGTACATTGATACAAGGAAGAATATTTCAGTATCTGTAACCTTATCCAATACAAAAGCAGAATTATCCTCATTAATTCCCCCAAACAAATTGTGCAACATCTGCAAAACCCTTTTCCTCATCCATTGTTGAGTCTCATCCCCAAGTCTCGGTTTGAAGATGAAACTAATTGCCGACTCCTCACCTTCACGACGCTCTCGACAACACCCATCTCCCCATCCCAGGACCAATTCACCAGACTTGGAGTACGACAGTTGCCAGAAAATCGCATAGTTCCAACTAAAATTGGCCGCATTAGGACGCTCTACAAGATCTGAAAGCTTATTCTGCAAATTCTCACCATTCCCCAGAGACATGAATGAGCATTCCGTCGAAACTGACCTCGAAATCAAGAAATCGAATGCCTTAGTACCCAAAACTGCAGCCGCCATAGCCTTATCGTCATCATTTAACACAATATTCCTCATTCCCACGCCTTGTTTCATCTCTGAACTCAGGCCAAAAACAAAAAAACAACTCCAACTTTTGATACCCAGTTAACAAATAAAACAGCAAAGTTCAATTTCTATACATGCAAGAATTCTACAAACCAATCCAACACAAACCCATTTTAGCACTTAGAACAAAATATGATCTTTCTCGGCAATTATCCACTTGGTATTAGCATAAGATCTCAAAGGGCCATAAATCTACACAAGAAGAAAACCAACAAAATGACACTAGTATACAAGTCTTAATTGCACTATAAAACCCAAAGTAATAAAATAAAGAACAGAGATTGAACAAGAATACGCACCAGTATTCCATTTTCTGGTCCAGGGATATCTTCAAATGCGAAAATTTACTAGGAAAACTTAGTTTCCCATAAAACAAATCATATTCAGTTTACATGTGAAGCCTCTCTTTCCCTTCTCCCTCTATGAAAGGAAAAAAAAAAAAAAATGAAGAGACGAGTTTTGAAAGAGCATGGACAAAATACCGTGGATTGTGAGTGCTTGAAACGAGGAGGAAAGGAACCACGGTTAGGTGAAAAAGGTGCAAGAATTAATCTCGTGTTTGTTTTTATCTTATAAGCATTCATTGGTAGTATCGACAACTATTATTTTATTTATTATTCACATTTATGAAAAGAAAGAGATTAAATGAGTCAATTAATTTTACATTTTATTGAACCTATCACAAATTTAGACCATATTATGCCCCTGTTTGTCATTCATTTTTTTCTATTATTTTTTTTACAGTACTCATTTTCAACTATAAATTCTTTATTAAAATAATATTATACGTAAAAAAAAAAATTTTCTTTTTTAACTACACATTTCGATATCAATCACTATTTCATAATATATTTTTTCCAAATAATGGCTTACAAACACACCTTATATAAAAAATGGTATTAGATAGCATTATTTATTTAAATATGATCTACAATTTATAATTACTCAAAGTTCTAATTTAACCACTCTCAAGATATTATAAAAGAAATTCTACTCATACCTTTTGGGAAATTAATGCAAAAATACAACCTAATTTAATATTATTTTAATTTAATATCAGTTTAATTGCCAACATTAATAACATTAAATTATAAATTCAATTAAATATTTATTTAATTGAACTAATCATATGGATCAATGCTCTAGTACCATTGATAGTTGGGTCCATTTAATTGCAAGAATAGAATTTAGGTGCTAATAAAAGAATTTTAGGGAATTAAATTGTCTAGAACTTGTTTTTACTGAGAATTTTCAATTAAATATGTTTAATTGGTATAATTTTTCACCTGAAAAATGTTGAAATTTTGAATATTTTGGAGTTCATTTGACTTTGTTAATCATATGGATCAATGCTCTAGTACCATTGATAGTTGGGTCCATTTAATTGCAAGAATAGAATTTAGGTGCTAATAAAAGAATTTTAGGGAATTAAATTGTCTAGAACTTGTTTTTACTGAGAATTTTCAATTAAATATGTTTAATTGGTATAATTTTTCACCTGAAAAATGTTGAAATTTTGAATATTTTGGAGTTCATTTGACTTTGCTTTTTTATGAAAATTGTTAATTAAATTGATAGAATTTGTTACAATTGTGTATCGAATTTATTTCCATTACTAAAAAATAAAAAAAAGAGAGAGGAATCTGGAAAAGCCAATTCTCATCAAAACCATGGGAATTGGAATTCCATGGTTTCAAGGAAAACCAATTCACGTGTGAGGGAAGGGGGAGGGAAAAGCTGTGATCCAATAAAGGGGCAATTTATTGGTGGATCAATCACTATGGAGGAAAGCTCTCTTGAGACCAGGAGTTTAGATCGGGTGGGAGCCTGTGATCTAACAAGGGCACAACCTGCGGTTTACCTCCGCTAGTCACTGAGGGGCTGGTAGCTAGGGGTCTAGGATTTAGTCTGGTGAAGTTGGGACACCTGGGTATCAAAAAAATGGGGGGGGGGGG